TTATTGCTTTCTGCTTTATAGTTGTTAAATTCATTTATTCACAGAAAAAACCTTGTCTCATTTTTGATGCAAATCAAAATGAGCCAATGCTAAACGACATAGACGGTGGCGCCACCAACCTGGTTCATTTTTATTGCACATCAAAATAAGCCGCCTACACGGCTCATTCTGAGTTCAGTTTTTTTCTGTGTTGAGTTTTTTTTCTAGTAAAGAAATCCCCAGAATTTAATTAAAAAATATAAAATTAAAGAATACTATAGTTGAAAATGGATTGAAATTAGGAAATGATGCACGCCCCACATGTTCATGACGTGGTATAATGAGAAAACAATAGGTATATAGTGCAGAGCACATGATTAATTTCAATGAAAATAAAGGGCCATATATTATTATTAATTATCACCTTTCATTAATTATGTATATGTATATAGTTAATGAACACAAGAAACTATAAGATGGTGTGAGATGAACATTTTTTTTTGGCCACAATGAAAACTACTCAGGCGAAAATAGTCTTATAGGTTCAAACATAGAACTAGGTCGTTCGATTTTTCTCTGTACGTGAGAGGTTCCAATACACCTGCTCATGAATCTCTAAGAAGTATTACATCCGTTTTTACCCCCTTCGTCTCTTGCTTTATCTTGTCTAGGTTTCTATTCTATTCTCTGATATACACACACATACACACATATTTATAGAACTTATCTCCCAGATGAGATTCTAGTGTTAGAAAAATCTTAGAAAAATACTTATTAACAATCCAGACACGTATGTCGTTTGTTGTCTTAAAGAGTCAGAAAACGTTTTTGTAAAAACGAAATTAGAGCTTATAGAGGCGCTTCCAGTCATCTTGGATGAATATTTTCTTTATAGTTTTTATAATCTCAAAATTCTCTTCTAAAGAACATTTTTTACAAATTTAAACAAAACAAATATTAATTTTTTTATATTACACTCGAATCTTGTTATAACGAATCTCGATATATCGCTCCGTTATTAAGAACACTAAAACTCTCGATACAAATGAAAAAAATTTGTTTCCCTTTACCCCTTTTAATTAAAAAAAAAAAAAACAAACACGAGTCTCATTTGACTCCATATGTAATTTAAAATTATTAATCTTCTTTAATTTTTAATATGCATTAATTTATAATTATTTACACTAATTATTATTATCTATTATTTACTGAATTTATTACTGGTTTATATAAAATATTATAAATATTTTTATCCAATTTTTACAAACATTTGTTTATTTTCACCTTTAAACCTTTTCTACAATTATTCAGTTTGTTGAATTTTATTAATATTAAGATATTAACATTATTTGTTTAAAAGTTAGTGAACAAATAAAATTTTTGTTTTTTATATTTTTTCAACCAAATATTATTTTCAACAAAAAAAAACAAACAAATAGAAAAACGAAATTAAAAAAAAATTAAAGAACGAAATATATTGTTTGTAAAAATTGCAATTGTTTACTAACATTAATTAAAATCACAAAAAGTTAAATAATAATCCAAGTGGCACGTAATATTACTGTAATATTACGTGCAACTTGGGAATTATTATTTAACAACAAATTTTGGCTCAAAATAAGTTTTTTGAATACTGGATCTTTCAAAATTTAGTAAAATTAATTTTAGTTTTATCAAGTAATAAGGTGGTTTCTATTGTCCCCACTCGCCATATTTGTCATAATTCTCGTCAACTACTGCATCCTGCTCTAGTAAAAATTTAGTGACTTTATTGTTAAAATTAAAAGTTACTATAAAGTTACTAAATTTTTACTAGAGCAGGGTGCGGTAGTTGACGAGAGTTATGACAAATGGCAACCATAAAACCAATTTTTAGTTTGAGGTTATGTCAAGGGATTGAACCTCCTTGAAAAGTCTATTAGAGACGTCTATTTGACATTCTATATATTTTTTTTATACTTAGAAAAAAAAACATTCCTAATTTAAATACACTGGAACGCCGGTTATTAGGACACTGGATTATTTGGAAAGCTTAGGCGCTAAAACGGGGTGAGGAGAAAAGGGAAGTATTTCTGTACGCAGTAGCGCATCTATTAAAGAATCCGTTCCCCGCCTTGATTTAATGTATTATTTTGCAATTATTTATTGGTGTTATATGAATATGATAAAAATTAATAAGCTGCGTGACAATTTTGCTAAGTAAAATTTGTTTTATTTCTAAAAAACAATTAATATTTCTCACTTAATTAATATTTTCTTTTCTCACATCTCATGCGCCTAACCTCAAAATTGTTGTTCAACTATCAAACTTTGGTTATGTATTTCAATCGAAGGCAAAAAAAAAACTTCTCACGGCCCTGTAAGTTTATGCTTTTTCGTCAAGGTGACCTTTCCAGATTATTCGGACACACACCCGAGTTGTCCTAATAACCGGCGTTCCAGTGTCATAATAGAAATCTGTTTTTGAACGATTTTGTTTAATTTAACACAGATTGTAAGTTTTATTTTAATATATGGAAAGTATTTATCACTTTCATTTAAAAATATTATTTGTTTGAATGAAAATTATATGTTTGACTTAAACTTAAGGTGCTTTCATACCTCTAATTTCGATCAGATGAACATTTTTTCTGGACCGTGAAAATGCAAGTCAATGAATGTGATTGGATCTACAAAAAATACGTGAAAATGGAATTTTTGTATAGCCAATCACATTCAGTGACATGCATTTTCACGGTCCAGAAAAAATGTTCATCTGATCAAAATTAAGAGGTATAAAAGCACCTTTAGTGGCTAATTTACAAAAGAGAGCATGTAATTTTCCACGAAGTAGTATTAGGAGACATAGTGTTTTAAAATTCTCGGTAAAATTGAAACCTGAGAATGTAAGAAAGAAAATTGCGGTAAATTACCGAAAAAAAGAGAATTTATGAGAATATTCATTTAAGTGATTGATAATTGCCTTTTTTAAATTTAAATATGTATTTTTATAGTATGTAAGTTATAAATAAACGACCGACATGTTATTAAATGAATAATTTGAACAATGAATATAATAGACTGTAAGGGTGCAGTCCCATGGAGCAGATTAGCAGAATAGATTTCAGCCAATCAAAAGTTAGTCTCTCGCGGCAAATTTTGCATTTCCGTTAGAGACTGTTTTTTTATTGGTCAACGTCTAATCTGCTAATCTGCTCCATGGGACTGCACCCTAATTTTCTCTGTGTTCTTACTGACAAGATGACAGTCGGGTATATATGCCTGCACTTTTATCATTGTCTAACACGTGCGTCGTCATGGCAACATGTGTGTTAGACAAGGATAAAAGTGCAGGCATATAAATGTACCTGATTCAATATAATAATGTAATATTATATCAATATTAATATATTAATATATATATTATATATTGTAACAAAGATATTTTTCATTATAATAATAATTATACAGTCAGGAACATATGTCTGTACTTTTATCCTCGTCATACACGTTGTCATGACAACGCACGTGTCAGACAAGGATAAAAGTACAAGTAAAAATTCTCATAAATTCTCAGAGAAAAAACGATCCGGTAATTTACCGGTAAATTACCGTAATCTTCTTTCTCTTCTTGACGTAATTTACTGTCTTTAGAACACTAAGGAGACATATCACCCAGAGATGGGTAAGTAACATACTTCATGTATGTTACCTAAGTTTGCTACGTATGTTACATGTGTATACAACTTGTCCAGTTTGCTACACAACGTTTGTTACATTTCATGACGTAGGCACTCGTAATGGTCAGAAGCAAATATAACCTCAATCTAGTTGGTTCCCGCTATGTGTTTAGTCTTTGAATTTTTGTTTGATTCGTTTGATTATTGCTTTGTGGACATTTTTTTTAAAAATGAATCTAGGTGGAAGGCCTCTCAACATTAATGTCTGTATTGATGAATGATCAGTTAACATTTTATTATAAATTTTTTTAAAATAGAATTACTAAGAGTTTTTCTGGTAGGCGGCGAGTAATTCGGATTTAAAGTTTTGACAAACTTTTTAAAAAAATCGGATTCAACTACCGCGAATGGAATATTACATCCAAAAAAGAACATCCCTAGTTGAAGATCTCCTTTTGATAAATTCAATATCTTCGAAATTTCATCCGCTTCTTCCTGCTGTTTCTAAAAATTAAAAAGATCTATATTTAATTTTTCAGAAGCATTGACGAGATTTTTTTGTAGGATTATAGAAATTCAAAGTAAAGAGTAAAGACATATAAAAACACTTATTAACTTAATAAAAATTATTAAACTGAAGTGCAATAAATTATTATTTAAAGAATATTTCATCTCTTTATATTTACCAGTAGATCTATTTACCTGAGTTGCCTGAGACATTATTATAATTTATCTGTTATGATGATGAGGCGAGTCCGAGTTGACATCCGAAAAGTGAGGTTATATTTATAATATGGTTTGCGACAATTTGTTACGTATACTACACATTTTAGGTATCATACGTAGCAAACCTTGAGTTTGCGACATTTACCCATCCCTGATTATCACCTATGGCCGGCTATAACGGAATGTAGCCCCATTTTCGGCCAATCTAATTACACTTGCGCCTCTAGAGGGAGACCTCGGTATTAAAATCACGTGTTTACAGAATACAGTGTTTAATACCACAATTTTCCGCGGTTGGCGTAAGTGTAATTAGATTGGTAAAAACTTGAGAACCGTAATTTTCCACTGGAATTCCAGTAGAACGTCCGAAATATGTCATATCTTTATAATTTTGTCACCTGCCTCACCTTGCTTTTTTCTGTTCTAGTTCCGCGCCATGAATAAAAAAAACCTACCATTCCCTGCAAAGTGTCACAATTCAGTTATATTCCCTTGATGACTTTATTTATTGTCAATAAGATTTTGACATCTTAATCTATAAAAAATTATTTTATTTATTACATTTTCCAAAAATCTTTTTACATACTTCAACGTTGCGTATTATATTTAAATGAAAAAATAAAACTTATTTTTCAGGTCACGATCAACGAAGAATAGCCATATTTACACCTGATGACGGTCAACTGATAATGAACTGCCCGGGGTGTGCAATCACACGATGGCCAGGCGGACATCCTCCAGCTGCGAGAAGAGTTTTTCGGTAGGTTGTTATTTCATTTATCGATCTATTAAATTACACAATCAACCTTTCAAGAATATCAATTTATTTATCGCACTTTGAAAAAAACATGATTTTTTTTGGAAAAACTTAATTAAAAAAAAAAAAAAAACAAAAATTGGTTCATGAAAAAAATATTCTTTATTTGAGGGAATTTTCTTCTATACAAATTTTTCTCCCTTATAATACAAAAAAATTGTCCTCTTGATTTAAGACGACTGATGTCTTAAAGTATACAATGTTTATTTATTTATTTATTTTGTATATATATATATATATGTGTGCCATTCCAGGAGTTTTTTAGCACTTTTCAGAGTAACCTTTCCAAATTAAATGAAACATTTTTTTAATAATATTTATTAATATAAAGGTCCAAAAAAATCACTTTTTAAGTAAAAACAATTGTTTATTTAAAAAATACAACAATAAATAATGCAAAAAATTCACTTTTTTCCTGCAACTCCAAATAAATTGGTTTAAAGATCAAAATTTTCCTTATTTTTCAAGCTTTAATACCGCACAAGAAACATAGAGTCCGAGAAAATATTCAACTCACAATTTTTTAAACAATGTTTGTTTACTTTTTTGTATTTTATTTACTGTGAAACGTCTGCTAAAGCTGCGCGCGACGTTTGGAAGTTGTCGCTTTCCTTATTGAGCAGAAGCTCATTACACTAGCGTAGTAGAAAGCATGTTGTGTGAAAAGTAAGGTTATGTTGTCATTAAACGAAACGTAAAAATTTCTGGTTATCACATTGAATGGTTTTTAATTATCTACTTTGCAGTAAAAAATCATAAAAAACATTTTTGAAAGATGAAAAACCTCACTTTTCACACAACATGTTTTTTACTACGCTAGTGTAATGACCTTCTGCTCAATAAGGAAAGCGACAACTTCCAAACGTCGCGCGCAGCTTTAGCAGACGTTTGACAGTAAATAAAATACAAAAAAGTAAACAAACATTATTTAAAAAATTGTGAGTTGAATATTTTCTCGGACTTTATGTTTCTTGTGCGGTATTAAAGCTTGAAAAATAAGGAAAATTTTGATCTTTAAACCAATTTATTTGGAGTTGCAGGAAAAAAGTGAATTTTTTGCATTATTTATTGTTGTATTTTTTAAATAAACAATTGTTGTTACTTAAAAAGTGATTTTTTTGGACCTTTATATTAATAAATATTATTAAAAAAATGTTTCATTTAATTTGGAAAGGTTACTCCGAAAAGTGCTAAAAAACTCCTGGAATGGCACATATATATATACAATTATTTATATTAAGGAGGTTCAGCCTATTAACATAACCTCAAACTAAAAAGTAGTTTTTAACAGAACTAAAAAATATTTAAAATTTATTACAACCAAATTCGACAGATTCAATTGTACAAATTTTGGAAAAAAAATTATTTTGAGTTAAAATTTGTTGTTAAATAATAATTAATAAAAAATTTTGTATTTTTTCTTAAAAGTTAGTGAACAATTGTAATTTTTATACAATTCTTACAAACAATAGCTCATTTTGCTCTTTGAAATCTTTTCGACAATTCTATTTGTTGAATTTTATTAAAAATATTTTGTTCAAAAGTTAATAAAGAAATAAAATTTTTATTTTTTATATTTTTTAAACAAACCATTATTTAACAAAAACAAAAAATGTTTATTAATTATTATTTAACAACAAATTTTAACTAAAAATAATTTTTTTCCAAAATTGTATAAATGGATCTGTCGAATTTGGGTGTAATAAATTTTTAATATATTTTTAGTTCTATTAAAAACTACTTTTTAGTTTAAGGTTATGTTAATGGGTTGAACCTCCTAAAAATTTTCTTAAAAAATGGGATGCATGAATATGTTATAAAAATAATTATAGATAAAATTTTCATTTTATGGAATTTCATTGGTCATAATTATTTGTGAGCCAAGTTTTTATTTGTTCGAAGTAGTATTTTACTTAATTTTCATCAAACCGATTTTCTATATTACTGAATTTTTGTATAACCCAAAAATTCACTTCACAAAATTTTTATTTGATCGAATTTTCATTTAACATAATAGGCATTTTAAAGAATTTTCAAATGTCCGAAATTGCAAATAGCCAAACTATAATGGCGCACTCACACCTTTTTTGGCTGCCTACCTGCCTGCAGGTTACCATGGCAACGCACGAGTGTGAGTGAGACAGAAAATTTGAATATTCAAATTTTTAAATTTTCTGTCGCACTCACTCTCATGCGTTGCCATGGTAACCTGCAGACAGCCAAAAAGGTGTGAGAGCGCCTTAACAATTGACAGAAAGATTTTGGCGCGATTTTTAAAATCAACCAATAAAAATTTTGATTGGTTGATTTTAAAAATCGCGCTGAAATCTTTCTGCCGATTGTTTGTTCGGACATTTGCAATTTCGGACAAATGAAAATTCTATCAATTAGAAAAATTTTGTTAAATGATTTTTCGGTTAAGTAAAAATTCTGTATGAAAAATCGGTTATATGGAAATTATATTAAATAATAATTCGAACAAATGAAAATTCATCTGAAAGAAAATTGTATACAATGAAATTCTACCCAATAAAAATTCTTTAAAATTCCTATTATTTTAAATGAAAATTTAAGCAAATAAAAATTCTGACAAATAAAAATTAGAACAAATAAAAATTCTTTGAAGTGAATTTTCGGTTATATAAAATTTCTAAAATATAAAAAATCGGTTTGATGAAAATTCTGAAAAATACTAATTCGAACAAAATAAAAATTTGTCTTACATATAATTATGACAAATGAAATTCAAAGAAAATGAAAATTCTAACTAATGATTTTTAGAACATATTCATGCGTCCCTACAAAATTATAGAGGAATATGTTTTCATCAAGAATATATTATTCCAAAAATGAGCATAAAGTAATAAAGTTGTCCTACAATTTTTTTTCCTTTTTAAAATAAGAGGAAAATAACATCAGTTGAAGAGTAATACTGTTTTTTTCAAATTAGAAATTTTTTTTGAATTTTATAAGATACCTCTAAAAGGAAAATATTTGAAAAATAAATTTTTTCCTTCAATATTCTGAATTGATGAATATTTGATTACTTTCTCGATTTTTTTTTTTTTTTTGAAAGGATGAAAATTGGAATTTAGAAAGTCATGTTTTTTTCCTTATTTTTTCATTCTAACGTTATTTATTTACATATAAACCGGCTATACAAAGAAAGTTTTGCTGAATTTCTTTCTGATGTTTTCAAAGTGATTTAAAAAAAAAAGTTTCCGCAAGATATTAGATAAAAAGTGATATGCGTAAAACTTTCTTGTATATTTTTCTCATGTAAATTTTGATAACTTTGAGCACAAATAACTTTATCATGAAAACTTTACAAATATGTAAACAATATTATATTTTTTAATTTATTTCTAAAATTGATCGATTTTTTTCTTTTTTTTTGTTTGTTTGTAATTAGTAAGTGCCGTCATTCTTTTTTCCTCATCTTTTCCATATTTGCTTTTAATTACTAATTATAGGGCTGTCGATATCGAATCGATTAATTTTTGTTAATTCCATTAGATTGAGAGTTGTAACAGTGGCACCAGCGGCCTTTCTCGTTGTCACGTGTCTCTCCAGCGTGGGAGTCACCCTAGCTCTTGCTTTTTTGGCATTTAATCTTCACTTTCGTAAGCACAAGTAGGTAAAATAAATTTATAAAATATAATGTACACATAAAAAAAAGTATAATAACAATTTTTTTTAATATTTTGAAAAAAAATTCATCAACAAAATGAAGATAAAAAAATTCAGTCTTTTCTGGAAAATTTAAAAATTATAAGACAAGTTTTTCTTGATTAAATTTTATAGCTACATTATTTTTTGTAATCAACTAAAAAAAAAATTAGTTTTGAAAATGATGTAAAAAAAAATGTTTTCCTATTACCTCAATTTTCTAATTTTATAAAAGTTAATTTAGGACTGAAATTTAAAAAAGGATGATGAAGAAAAAAAAAGCAAAGTATATTCGTAAGGTTATCTAAATGTAAATTAAGCTCTCGTAGACAAAATTATTGTCCCCGAAAGGAAATTCATCTGATCATTATCAAGTGCTTTAAAGGATCTAAAATATATCTAATGCACTTTGGAGCTTTATGAAAGTAGAAAAAAAAAAAGTTTTTCACCTTTTTTTTCCATGAGGAAGAAGAGAAGTTGCGCTAAAAGTTGCCCTGTTGTTTTTTGCGAAAAAAAAAATTTATCCCATAATTTGTATACTTTTATAAAGCAACAACTTTTACGAGGAATTACAGGAATTTTCGTTAAACATTTATATGCACCAGAAAATAAAGAAGAAAATAATTTTCCTATATAACAGTTTGTTCATTAAAATTAATTTTTTTTATTTAAATCAAATATAAAAATTATTTGATTTAAAAAAATATATATTTACACTATAAAAGTAAATAATTTTATTTGAAAATGATAAAATTTATTTGAAACAAAGAAATTTATAATTTATCTCTGAGACAAATATATATATTATTTCTTTGAATTTAAATTTAAAAATACGTATTCAAAAAAAAAAAAAAAAAATGATCAATAGAAGAAATGACAAAAATTATTTTTTTCTTTTATTATACTGATGATGAGAAAGAAAAAAGGAAAAAAAAAATTTGAATATTTAAATATAAAATACAATATTGGAAAGTTTCGCATGGAATTGATGAAAAGGGAAAAATCTAGTTAAAGATAAACCCTTATCCAAGAAAGTTTAAAGTCAATTCTTATAAAAGAATTTCATTAAATTCACAAAGAATCAATATACAGTTTCTTATCTTCTGTCTCAACAGGAGTATAAAGCTTTCAAGTCCAAGATTGAACAATATGGCGGCAGTTGGTTGTGGCTTAGTTTACGGGGCTGTCGTTTTACTTGGTCTGGACCATGCAACTTTACCAGACAGTGATGATTATTTCCCCGTAGTCTGTACAGTTAGTATTTTAAAAAAATTTACTCCAAAACAATTTTATCAATATATTTATATATGCTATAATTTTTAAAAGATTTAATAATATTTTTTATTTATTTTTATCAAATTAAGGCACTCTTACACCTTTTTGGCTGCCTGCCTGCCTGCAGGTTACCATGGCAACGCACGAGTGTGAGTGAGACAGAAAAATTGAATATTCAAATTTTTAAATTTTCTGTCGCACTCACTCTCATGCGTTGCCATGGTAATCTGCAGTCAGCCAAAACGGTGTGAGAGTGCCTTTAGAAAGAATTGAACGAACAATCGAAACAAAAGAGTTAGTCCAACTCCATATTTTTGAATCTTTAAGTAAACAAATTTAACATAACCTAAAATTTGCCAATTGTTTCTTAAGGTGAGAAATTTTTAATTTTCATCCAAATGAAACTTTTAATAGGTTATCACCGAATTCAAAATTATCAAATTTTTATTTCAAAAATAAAAATTCGAACAAATGTAAATTCAGTTAATTAGAAACTGGCATTTAAAAATTCGAATTACTAAAAGTTCTATTAAATGAGAATTCTGATAAATTAATTTAATATTCAGGCCTCGGATTATATGACTTTTTCGACTTTTTTTTACATTTTAAAAATAAAAATTTAAAAAAAGAAACGTTTTTTTATTTTACAATTCAGATGTTCTTCAGAACTTCTTTATTTTAATTAATTAACAAATTTTTAACTAAAATTCTTCACAAATTCAATTATCTTAAACTATTTTGTAATTCTTTGAAAATTTAATTACTTTTAAAAAATGTTATTTAAAATTATTTGACAAATTATTTTTAGTTCTGTAAAATTTAATTATTTTCTGAAAACTAACAAAATCTTTTGAAATTCAATTATTTCTAAAAATTTCAACTTTAACTCTTCCAAAATTATTATTTAAAAAAATTCTTATTTAAGAATTACCTGAAATTTGTTTGACCATCAAAACTAAAAACTATGATAAAATTTTAAATTCGAATAATAACTTTAAAATTTTTTTTTAGAAATTTTGTCCTACTTAAATAAAATTTTTGAAAATTTGTCTTACAATTAGTTCGATTCTGAAATATTTGAAATAAATTTTCTTGATAATATTTTTATAGAAATATTCTCATTACAGAATTAATAAAATAAATTTAATATCTAATAACGTTAGTTATTTAAAGTAAAATATTTTTTAACCAATTAAATTTTGTGAAAATAAAAAAAATCGATTTTTTTGGACATTTTTGGAATATAAATCGACTAAAACGACTTTTTTGTGCCTTAAGGTCGATCCAAGGCCTGAATATTTGGTTAAATTAGAATTTTTTAAATGAAATATTGGTACAGAAAAAATTGGTAAAATTAAATAATTAAATTTCTTTCAAATAAAAATTCGATAACCAAAAAATTTATTAAGTAAAAATTCGTCAAAAAAGAAATGTAAATTCATAAATTCCGTTTAATGGAAATTATATTATTTGAAAATTCCATGTATTAGAAAATCTGCTATACAAAATTTCAGTTATAAATAGAAATTCTATTAAAACAAAATTTAGTGAAATTTTTCATTATGAAAATTCGGCTCATTATAAAATCTATTTTACAAAATTCTGCTGAATAAAAATAATTCGATAATTTTTTATTCGACACCACGAAAATTTCAACAGGTCTAGTGTGGATTTAAAAATTTTTAATTAAAAAGAAAATACAAAAAAAAGTTGACTAACTTTTGTTTTGACTAACGATCCAATTTTCCCTAAAATTATTATTATTAATAATTTTTTTTTTTTTTTGCATGAACATAATTTTAATAGATTTTTAAAATTTACTTTTTAGGCGAGAGTTTATCTTCTCTCTGCGGGATTTTCTCTAGCGTTCGGTTCCATGTTCACTAAAACTTACAGAGTTCATCGAATATTCACCAGAAGTAGAAGTGGAGTCGTGAAAAAAAAGGTGCCTAATTTTTTTAACCATAAATATTTTTAACCATCAGATTAAATTTATTTATACATAAGCATATTGATTTTAATCACGACAAAAATGTTTTCATTTGTTTTTTTTTCTTTTAAATTAATATCTAAGATAATAAGTGTAAAATGAAATATATAAAGAAAGAAATAAGGTAAAAAAAAAACAAATTTAATACAAGAAACAAATTGGTATAAAAAATTAAAAACAAAAAAAGAAAGAACCTTAAAGAATTAATTTGAGAAGCAATAGAAAAAGTAAAAACATTTTTAATTACAGAAAAACTTTAATTAAAAACAACAAATTTGCAGATTCTAATAGAAAGTTCAATTAAAATCTAATTCGATGTCAATTAAGTTCTATAGAATGTTTTACTAACAAATGCACCACCTTGAAGTATAATAAAGTAAAACTATACACAAGAACCTACTAGAAATCTGAAAGCTTTGCGAGAAATAAGAAAATTTAATTAGAATTCGCAACAAGATATTTCTTTATATTCAGACTTGAAGTAATGAATGAATATTTGTTAACGAAGTTACTTTTAAAGGATATCAAACCATTATATTTGGAAAATGATGATGATAATAGTTACATTTGTATTAAATTTAACAAATTATTCTCTAGTTGGTTGTTTATATAGACAAATAATGGAGTATTAAATATTTCCCCTTTGGGCAAACAGATTTGTAAAATATCCAATTTGAAATACCTTGAAATCAATATTATCCATAGTTAATAATAATTACGCATATATATTTCATTTTCAATAATTAAAAATCTATTATTTTACAATATATAGATCATTTATCTTAACTCTTTAATTATCACAGGGGATATAATTTTTTTTTTTTTTTTTTTTTTTTTTTTTTGAAATATATAAATTGGCGCCGGACTATGTGCACTACTATTTATATACACCCCAGAGAAAAAATAAATTTATCTCAGAGGTAAATAAATATTTATTTGTTTCAAATAAATTTGGTTTAAATAAAAATTTTATTTGGTCAAAATAAAATTTTATTAACGTGCGCCAAAGAGTAAATTTTTATTTTGAAACAAATAAATAATTTACTTAGCTCTGGAACAAATATATATTTTGTTTTTATTTAATTAAAATATAGTGATGAGTGCGAGAATCAATGGATCACTGTTTACAGTGATTCATTTTAGTTTTTTGGAAAATTATTTTAAATAACTATTATAGCTAATAAATATTCCAATTATTTTTCTATACAAAATAGATAATTTTAATTAAAAATTATTAAAATAACTTGATATCTAGGTGTCTTTTGGGTAATTGTTTAAAAATCTGAAGTTCAATTTTCAAAATAAGTTGTCCAAATCAAAGAAATGGTTATAAATTTCTTTTAATTGAAAATCATTGTTCCGCCGTGAATAAAAAATAAAAAAGTTAATTGAATCTCAATTCAACCCTCAATTTAAAATTGTATATCTTATCACCGTCCGACAAAATTCAACTTTTTTTTTCACACATGAAAAAATCAATGATTTTCAGAAACTAGAACCAAAAAAAAGATACCCGTATTTGGCCGTTTTACTAGATCAGGTCATTTTTTGCTTTTAGGGGTAAAAACAACCCTTAAATGAAAGGTGATAGAAAATCTTGTACAAATTAATAATTTTTTATGAAACCTTGTATCTCGGGGTTTTCCGGGTCGCTGATAACAAATCTGATGTCAGATTTTCAAAATTCAAAATGGCGGATCCAATATGGCGGTCGAAATTTATAAAAATTCACCAATTCATTTGAAATTTGTTACTTAGGGGTTTTTAGGGTCGCTGATTACGAATATGATGTCAGATTTTCAAAATTCAAAATGGCGGATTCAATATGGCGGTCGAAATTTATAAAAGTTTATCGAATGTACTTGAAACTTGTTACTTGAAGATTTTTGGGGACGCTGATAACGAATATGATGTCAGATTTTTAAAATTCAAAATGGCGGATCCAATATGGCGGTCGAAATTTATAAATATTAATTATTTTTTATAAAACTTCGTATCTAGGGGTTTTTGGGGTCGCTGAGTACGAATCTGAAGTCAGATTTTTTAAATTCAAAATAGATCTAATACTGTGGAAGATTAGACAGTTGTTCATATGTTCGTTTTCAGTTGCATAGTTAGTACATAAAACAAATGACAATTGTAGACTTTTTTACATTGCACAGCAATTTTAAACAATCACTTCACATCTTTAAATTCATCTTACTTGAGATTATTACTGTTATCTAATAAAAATATTCTTACTTACTACAAAGCCTGTTTTGTCATTAAAAAAGTGTCCAATATACAAAAAACATATGTGGAAATTTTTATTTTTTATATATTGTTTTCTAATCTTCCACATTATTAAATCTATTTCGAATTTTAAAAATCTGACTTCAGATTTGTACTCAGCGACCCTAAAAACCCCTAGATACCAAGTTTTATAAAAAATAATTAATATTTATAAATTTCGACCGCCATATTGGATCCGCCATTTTGAATTTTTAGAATCTGACATCATATTCGTTATGAGCGACCCCAAAAACCTTCAAGTAACAAGTTTCAAGTAAATTCGATGAACTTTTATAAATTTCGACAGCCATATAGAATCCGCCATTTTGAATTTTGAAAATCTGACATCATATTCGTAATCAGCGACCCCAAAAACCCCTAAATAACAACTTTCAAATGAATTGGTGAATTTTTATAAATTTTGACCGCCATATTGGATCCGCCATTTTGAATTTTGAAAATCTGACATCAGATTCGTAATCAGCGACCCGGAAAACTCCGAGATACCAGGTTTCATAAAAAATTATTAATTTGTACAAGATTTCCTTTCATCTTTCATTTAAGGGTTTTTTTTACCCCTAAAAGCAAAAAATGACCTGATCTAGCAAAACGGCCAGACACGGGTATCTTTTTTTTGGTCCTTGTTTCTGAAAATCATTGATTTTTTCGTGTGTGAAAAATCGTGTCGGACGGTGTTATATAGGGGATGAATTTTTAAAAAATAGTGTTAAATTTTCATGAAACGTTTCATAAAAATGATACTTTGTATTTAGTGGTCCTTTATTTATTAGTAATAAAATGCAAAAATTATCAACAATATGGTAAATATAAATATAAATTATTATTGAAATTCAAAAAAAAAAAAAAATTGTTTGTTACAGCTACTTCAGGATACTCAACTAATTAGTCTAATTTGTGTATTGCTTTTAATTGATGGTCTTGTGGTCACTTTGTGGGTTACGATGGATCCAATGCAACGACATTTACGGAATCTCACTCTTGAAATTAATCCCCAGGAAAGGGGTGTCGTTTATCAACCTCAAGTTAGTCAATTATTTTATTCTATTTAAAAAAAAAAAAGACTATTTATCGTCAACCAGAGTAATTATACCCACCCCAGGGGCTATTATAACCATCGACAGTTTTTAATGAATAAAATGTTTATTTTAAAATATTTAAAAATAAAATAAATAATGACCCCGGTTGACGTTACTCTATTTTTTATTACTTCTTTAAAGTGGTTTTTACGTTTTTGTTTTTTCAAAAGAAAAATATTTTTTTTTAAGACAGAAACATTAAATCCTACACTGAAAAAAAGAATTTATTTGATTCAAATACTTCAAATTATTTGAAAAATATTTAATTGGTTCAAATACTTTTTATTTGGATTAAAAAAATATGAATTTGATTCAAATAACTTGAATTATCTGAATCGCATTTATTTAAACCAAATAAATTGTATTTGGCTCAATTAAATAATTAATTGAATTGAATAAATGAATTTATTTAATACAAATAATGAGTTACTTTAAATTATTCATTCATTTATTTCACTCAAATATTTCGTTTTCGATACAAAAAAAAGTATTTGACACAATAAATTTATATAGGGGAGTAGTGTCAGGGTTGGACACTTGGCTTTTTTTAAATAAAAACACTAGCGCCACCTGTGTGCATACGTGACGAATCTTCTAGTAGTGTAACCTAACTTTTTGTGGCATTACATTTTTGGAGAATCAAAAGTAGCGTCTCCTGTGACTTCGGTGCAATCGAAGAGACAAAAAAAGTTTTGTTTGACTTGTGAATAAACCTAAAAAATGTGTAAAAAAAAGCAAGAATTCGGCAAGATAAGCTTATTGAATGTATTTTGGGGTACATAATTTAAGAAGAAAAAAAGTGAAAAATCGAATCGCGACACATGACTGGTTATGGTTAGCACAATTCGAAAATGATGCTTCTAGTTAGGGTTGGACACTTTATACAGTTAGGGTTGGACACCCATATTAATTATGAATTTGACACAATTTATAAATAAATATACAAATAAATTTTATTTTATTGATATTTCAGTGCAAAATTGTGCCAAAGATATTAGAAAAATAATACTTAAATTTGATAAATTTTGTTCATCATTTCATTGAGTTATTTGGAACAATAAGCGTTATTTTTTGTAATTTGAGTTCATTCCTTTTTTAAACCCATGAAGCTTTACAATTTGTAAACAATAAGTAAAGATAAACATGAAAAAATAAGAATAAAAAACATTACAAATGTTATTTTACGTTTTTACCAATAATGCGTTTCGATTTTCAAAAAGTGTCCAACCCTGACTAGATTTTTTTTTAAATGTTTATAACTTTTTTAATTTTGGACCAATCAATTTACGCTCAACAGCAAAAGTGTTCCTCTTTTGTAGATCCTTCCACCCATATACCACAATTGACTGAATTTATCTAAACAAAATATTTATAAACAAAAAACCAAAACTGTGTCCAACCCTGACACTATTCCCCTAATTGATTCCAAATAAATTGAATTATTTAATACAAATAATTCGTTATTTAATCCTAATACACTATTTTATCAAGACAAATAAAAAAATATTTCAATCAATTAAATATTTATTTGAAACGATAATAATGATTTACTTGAAACAATTAATTCATTTATTTGACTGAAATATTTCGTTTTATTGAAACAAATAAAAAGTATTTGATACAATAACTTTATTTAACTGATTTAAGTCAACTAAATTATTTAATACTAATACACTATTTTATCAAGACAAATAAAAAATTTTTTTTTATCAATTAAATGTTTATTTGAAACGAAAATAATGAGTTACTTGCAACTATTAATTTATTTATTTCACTCAAATATTTCATTTTTTTGATACAAATAAAAAGTATTTGATACAATAAATTTATTAATTCTAATTAATTAAATTATTTAATATAAATAATGCGTTATTTAATGTTAATACATTATTTTATTAAAGGAAAATAAAATATTTTGATCAATTAAATATTTAAGTTTAATGAGAATAATGAGTTATAATTATATAATTTATTAATGAATAATTAAAGAAAAAGCAAAAGAGATTATTTACGTAGGTATGTTAAATAATTTATATATATTATAATTGAATGTGTAAAGAGAAAAGAAAAGAAAACAATTACAGATTTTGTGAAGTTATATATAGTTTATCCCTTTCACTCTTGTTTGAACTCGAATAGAAACTTGTACAGTCGACACTTGTACCTGAGAACTATGTGACTTACTTTGAGATAACGTCATGGTAATTACTCTTAATGAGGAGCGGCAAATTAACCCTTTTCAGGTGGAGGTTTGTCGATCTCAACACACCAATGGTTGGCTGGGAGCTCTTTACGTTTATAAAGGTCTACTTCTGGTTGTCGGTGTCTACATGGCATGGGAAACGAGGTAAAAAAATTTTCTACTTTTTTTTCACTTACAGAAAAACACTTTTAACAAAAATTCAATTTTGAACAATAACAATAACGATTTGAAATTTTTATCAAAAAATAACATTGAAATGAAAAAAAAAGTTATGAAATATTTTTGAATTGAAATAAAATAAAATTTAAAAATTTTGAAAAGATAAAAAATTTGTATATATATAATATATAGATAGATAAAGGATCAAAGAGTTAAATCGTTTAAAAGCTCGATGGCCTTAAAAGTTTTAAAAGTGGAACGCTTTATATTATATATCTATATATCTAAAAGTTAGAAACATTTAAATTTAGATGTGTTGCAATTTCATAGCGTTTAAACTTTGATTTGATTTATTTGTGACAAAACTTTTGACCTTTATATTCTGTTCAAGAGTTTTGAAATGCAAAAACTTGTAATACAAAATATAAGCTCGCGATGATAAAGGCAATACGAAAGCTTTTAAAATATACTGCTTTATACATAAAAGTTCATAAAATTCATAGTCTTTTTTTTTATAACGTCAAAGGGTGAGATTTCAAAAATTCCTTTTTTTGTAAAAGTTGTTATATAAAGACAATAATTACTTGAATGCATTAAAGTAATTTTTAATTAATTTATAATAGTCATTTTTAAATTAAATTTTCTTGACAAAAATATAATTTCATATAAATGACGAATATGTTTAAAAATTTATTTTGATAAAAAAAGAGTTTTTATGAAATTAAATTTTAAACCTTTAAAAAGGTTTTAAAAAATGTTAGCTCTAAAAAAAAAGAAATTTAAAAAAAGCTTCACAAAGTTTCTTAATTAAAAATGACCAATTTTGTAAATTGTTCCTCTTTATATAGAGGAATTGAACATTTATTGTCAAATAAACGTTTGATTTTAGACACGTGAAAATTCCGGCATTAAACGACTCGCAATATATTGGAATGAGTGTTTATTCAGTAGTAATTACTTCTGGAATTGTAGTAGCTTTAGCGAACTTGATATCCGATCAGGCGACACTAGCTTTCGTCACAATCACTGCTTTAATCTTGGCTTCAACAACAGCCACACTAGCTTTACTATTTCTACCACAACTGACAAATATCTTGTCCGGAGAAAGAGCGGATCCAGTTATTCAGAGTTTGGGTCTTAAAATTGAATGCAACACCAGAAGATTTGTCACCGATGACAAAAGGTAATTAAAAGAATTTTAGTTTCTATTTAGAATTCTATAAAATCCAGTTTAATTCATCCCAATCTGACGATTTAATTTCTTCTATTTAGCAACGAAAAGAATTTGAATGCCCCATCTTCATTAATTGTTGAAGTTATTTTCAATTCATTAAAACAAATTTTAAATCATTAATAAAAATACATTTATCTTCGAAAAGGCAACATGAAAAAAAATTTTATATGAACAAAACTTGTAACTTGTAACTTTAAACTCCTATGATAATTCATAGGAGGAAGATATTGATATGAACAAGAAGACACGAGACAATATAAAGTTACTGAGAAAACAAGGTTGGATAGTTAAGATTATCGTAAGATGCCTTATGTTCACAATATAATTTAGCTGCTGTTTCGTGATAGCTTTTAACTACACATCCTTGGCATCGCTACCATGGGATGGCTGCCGAATTATTTTGTAAACATAAGGGATCCTGCTTATAAAGATAATTTTGACTACCCAACCTTGTCAACTGACCTACTTCATATCGTCTCTTGTCTTGTTCATATCAAACAAATAGTTTTTTTTATAGGAGAAATACAGTGTTCATTATTCAAAAATTCGAAAAAATTGCATAAAATTGCAAAATAACCCTTTTTATGGTATAGATAATATCTAAGATTTTCTGGGGGTCAATTACGTAACTTTTTCCGGATTCCACTCTAAAAATTCCGGATTTCACATTTCACATTCTGTATTCTGGATTCCAAATTTCGGATTACATTTTTTACATTCCGAATTTAAGATTTCGGATTCCACTTTCAAAATGCTGGATTCCATATCTCACATTTTGAAAGTGGAATCCAGAATACGGAATGTAGAAAAAGGAATCCGGAATGTGGAATATAAGATCCATAATACAGAATTTTAAAAGTGGAATCCGAAATTTGAAAAGCGGGATACGGAATGTGGAAATCGGAATATGGAATCCGAAATGTAGAATCCGGAATACTAAATGTAAAAAGTGGGATCCGGAATGTAAAATCCGGAATGTAAAATGTGGAATCCGGAATGTGGAATCCAAAATACGGAATTTAGAAAGTGGAATCCAGAATGTGAAATGTGGTATCCGGAAAAAGTTACGTAATTGACCCCCTAAAAGCATATTACAAAGGATTTTGATTTCTTTGAATATAAGTGTAAATCATGGAGTAGTATAAGAAGACCGAACAACCATGTTAAATATGCGTTAAAAGTGGACCAAATTTTGGTAACCGCTTAGAGTCATGAAAATACGTAATGAAAATAAGTTAAAATAGATTTTCAATGACACTTAAAATTAGGCAGAATATTATAGGTTTCTTACTAAAAATTTAAAAAAACAACAATAAATAATAAAAAAAAACCATAAAAAATTGGTAAAAAATTGTTTATAAGTAACTTTTTAAAAATAGAGTAATTTTAAAGGTATATATCCAAAAATTCGTAAAAAATTGCATAAAATTGCAAAATAACCCTTTTTTGGGGTAAAATTGAAAAAACATGTTACAAAAAAAAGTATAGAAATTTATGCTACTGGGTAACATAGTGATGTTAAGGGCAACCATATTTAGTGCTAATACAGACAGCGATATAGATTGTAGTATTTACTATCAGATGATTATAGAAATTTGATTGTACAATTTACAATCTTTGATGTTAAAAATTTTATACGATCTCTTTACGTTCTCGAGTGGCAAATATACACGAACCTAACCTCGCTTTTTTTGTAAACTTAAATAATTTCATTTTATTTTAATAATACATTTCGATAAGAATTTAAACTTTAAACTTTTTACATAAAAAAGAGTATGTCTATTTTTTCACTCCGTCTATAAAAAGGACTTGCTTAAACATAAATATATTTATCAAACGGTATATTTTTTTCACAGAGTCAATTGAATTTGTATTATTTTACTAATTTTTAAGTTTAAAAAAAGTAAGAAAAAATATGAAAAAGTTTTTTTTCCAAAAAAAAATTTCAATAAACACATGTACATTTATACAAACGAAAAAAAAACTTACTTGATTTTTGTAATCTTGAAATTTTTTAAAAAATTTTAAGCGAGGTTCTGGTTTTGGTATAATGAGTGATATTGTATCATTGTCCAGTAAGTAAAACGATTCTTCATCAATTTCACCGTCTAAACAACGCAAAATTGTTTTGAGGTTATAAACACGTTCACACTTCAGTCTTCGCTAATTCAATCAAAATAATAAACCTACCTCCAAAAGATGGAATCAAAGATTCCATATTCCACGACATTAATAAATTTTTAACAAACTCGTCCATTTTTTTATTCACAACTTTTTTCACTATATATAAACACGTGCGTGAAAACACAAGGACCGCAATTGAATAGGCGAAGTATACACCACAATCAGCGCATGCGCTCACATTTAATTTTTACAATATTTGATAGTAGTGACTACAATCCAAAAGCTAACATATTTTACGTCTTTGGGTAACATCTTGGATAGTAAAATGTTGATAGTAGATTCTTGTCAGTAACACAATGATGGTACCTTGTACAATCTTTCTTTTTACTATCAAATTCTTACTATCCATTTCTCTCAGTGTATGTAAGATTTTCTAAAAGCATATGGCAAAGTATTTTCATTTATTTGAAAATAAGTGAAAATAAATTTTCCAAGGACGATGTCGGTGTCGCTTTTGGAAATTTGTTAACTTAATATAATAGAAGATGTCTTATGATTTTTTTTCATTAATTGAAGTCATTTAAGATATGTAAAATCTAAAATGTTATTTTGTTTTGAAAATAAAAATTTTATTACAAACTCCAATAGCTGACGTGTGTGCGTCCTAGATTTAACCTCCAACAGCCGAAGAAATGATTAGCATTTAAATATTGCAGGCATGTTACATGTACAATCCTACTTAGTTATCATTACCATATTCAATGTTTGAAGTAGGCTTTTGGCTTGGTTTTAAAAATAAAGATCAATACTTGATCGAGTTCAATGTTCCGATTTTCAGAACAAGTAAATGTATAAAAGAAGATTTAGGTCTTTATAAATAAAGAAGGTTAAAATTATAAATATTATCACGAAATTATTGTTGGTTAACAAAATAAATTACAAATTGAATCACATTATAGTTGAAATGAGCTATCTTACATCTATTCTAATTTGTTTGCTTCTATATATATATATATATATATATATATATATATATATATATATATATATATATATATATATATATACTTATATGTACATTTGTATTTGACTTTAGGGAGTTGCAGTATCGAGTAGAAGTGCAAAATCGAGTATATCGTAGAGAGATGGCTCAGCTGGAACTAGAATTAGCCAGATTGGAGAAACAATTAGGCCAGGAGAATGTTGATCCTTCGCAAGGTTCCTCCAATGCCTCAATTCCACAAAGGAATCCAAGCATAAGTGGTGGCCTACCTCTTCTATTACTTAGCGTCCTACCACCAGTGATTCCAAGAGCTAGCTGGCCATCTGCCGATCCTTCTGGTAAGACCAATATTCCCTTTCAATATATTCTCTTTAATCAATTTTGTATGATGCTTCTGCTATATATATATATAATATACATATGTAACTCTCAATGTCGTGCAAACGTGAGAAATAATCAATAAATGGCCAATTGCCCTAAAAACTTTTTTAAAGTTAAAAAATTAATATTTCTATTTCATTTATATACAAAAAAAATACAAATAAGAACAAAATATACTTTTAGAAATCAATCAAAAAATTTTGTTTTTAAAATACATTAGACGTTACTGACTAATTCACTGGTAATTAATTTGTTCCAAAAGCTCAGTGGGAAAAATACGATTGGCGCAGCTTAGTCGAATTCAATGAAGATTTAATATTCTCGAATTTTATGAGGTTTACAGATAGTTATGTGGCTTGTTACGCGGTTTCATTTATCTTGGCCCCTAAGAAATTTGAAAATTTCACTAACCAGAAAATTGTCTAAGAAATTTTTGAAACAATTTTTATCGTAAGGTGTAACATCATCCAAACACTACCCTCCTCTTAAGATAGATTCTACTCCTATATCATACAGTGAAACAGTTGAGGACCTTTGTTTAATAATTGAACGAACATTATCATGGCAAGAACATATCTACAAATATTTAGCGTAAAACATTATTATGGTTTTGCAAAACTTGAATAGAAACAAAGACTCCCTTTCCTCTTCAACTCGCTTATTATTAGTTAAATCTCTCATTCTTCCCTTTTATAATTACTGCTGCCCTATTTATGATGATATTACTGATGAGTTGAATAATAAGCTGGAGAGAGCATTGAATGCCTGCATTCGTTTTGTGTATGACTTACTTAAGACTAAGTATATAACCCAGTTTAGAGTCAAATCGAAACTATTAAATGTTGCGACTAGAAGGCAATTTTTTATTGGTAATTTATTATATTCAATTATTACCTACTTGGAAAGATTCTCCGGAAAGTGCCCCCTGAAGGTTCTATCAGAATTCCGCCGGAACTTCCAACGTAATTCCGTCGGAATTCCATCGAAGTTCCAAAGAATTTCCGATGGGATTCCGACGGAATTCTGATTAATTTTTTTCAAAATTTTTAGAGTCCTAATTCCGTCGGAATCCCATCGGAAATTCTTTGGAACTCCGACGGAATTACGTTGGAAGTTCCGGCGGAATTCTGATAGAACCTCCAGGGGGCACTTTCCGGGGAATCCTTCCAAGTGGGTAACAGCAAGACTCTTCTCGATTTCTTTAAATTCAGAAAAGCAAATACCAGACTCCGAGAAAAAAAAGTTATCCTAATAGTACCCTCTTATCGAACTTGTAAGATGCAAAAGTCTTTTATTGTGAGAAGTACGAGAATGTAGAATAAGCTACCAAACAATGTTAGATAAGCTTAATCCCAAATTACATTTAAAAGATTATTTTTTGATTTTCTATCTCCAGAAGTCTTTGCTGTAAATGAACAATTAAGCTTTAATAGGTATTAGCAGCACAAAGTGTTTTCTAATTCATTTAACATAAATGCGATGCTCCTTGACAAAAGGGACCTTTAGGTAGAAAAAATAGATTCTGAATTTTTTATATACAAAATATTTTGGTGTTGCTTTCTTATGTGCAAAAATTAGAAATCGTTGAACTCCAATTCTCTACTCGACTAATTGAATTATTATTTATTTCTGCTTCCACTTTGAACACTCACTATGCAAAAATTCACTTTTACTATTATACCTAAGGTCTCTTTTGACGCAGAGCGTCACTTTGTTCTATATCTCAAACAAAGTCTTATTTCAGTACACATGAAAACTTAGTATTGGATTCTCATAATCAGTCATGTGAACCGATATTGTCGATAAAAGTATGTTCAATATTTGGCCAATCGTCAATTTCCCATTGTGAAAAGTTTTTGAAACAAAACAAATTATTTATATCATACCGAATGTAAAATTTTGAGCGTGGCAACGTCTTTTTATAAATATAATTAATTGTATAAATAAATTTAAAATGCGATTAATTCATTTTGTACACATTAAACTTAAATTTAAACCTGGAACACAATTTAATGCAAGTACTATTATTATTATTTGAATATACGATGTAAAATAAGTTCGTGATAAAAGAAATAACGCAAATTAAAAAATTAATTTTTTTTTTGGTTATGCGGCAATGTCAGATAGGGAAAAGTATCGCAGCGCCACCAACTTATGAAAAAACTTGTTCAATAGGGTCAGCCGGGGTAAATCCGAACGCTAATTATTTTAGCTTAATTAAAATTTTAAAAAATAAGTTAGACATGAGAATTTTTATCTCAGATCCTCTTCAAGAGATTCTAAGTATTATCCCATTTTTCGTTTGTTAATTAGCAACAGCAGAAACAAAGATAACGAGTATTGCAAAAAAGATTGAAAATCAAAGATGACACTCTTTCAGTATTTTGTCTCGTATTTGTAGAAAAAGAAGCTAAAAATTCATTTTATTATTTATAATTGTTTGTTATAAATACTAGAACAGAAACTATTTTTCATTTTTGCCTTCTGTAAAATTTTATTAATAATATCAGACCGTTCGTATTTACCCCGGAAAATTGGAAAACCGGGGTAAATCCGAACGGTATTTTCAATAATTTTTTCTTATATCAAAAATTGTTTTTATTTGATTACACTATTATTTTAACATTATAAAAGTACATAAAAAAAAGTTTTTCTTTCTATATGTAGGGTCATTTGGGGTAAATGTAAACGGATTTGCTTAGTTTCGACAATAACGTAAGTTTTTTATTTTAAAAAGCAATACTTCCGGTTTTCTACTGCATGAACTTGTTACTTTACTTCCCTAGAAACATTTTATGAGGTACAAAAAAATATTGATCAACTTGAATCGCTTAAAACTGACTGTTTACATTTACCCCGAGATTTTGAAATTTTCCCAAAATTCGGGGTAAATGTAAACACCCCTGTAGTTTAAAGAGGTTTAAGAAAAAAGTTATCCCAAGTATACTACTGTGTAAAGGGATGTAAAAACTGAAAAAAAATTCTTGGTAGATGTAAAATAATTGAACCAATTGATTGATATGCAACATATAAAATAAGCAATCATTACCATAACAAAACTAGTAATGTAAAAACTTGAATAACTTCAATAAATTTTAATAGATTTTCATTCAACTTGGTGAAAATAAGTTTTTTAGGTTGCTGAATAAGATTCTAAAATCGAATTTTTAAATTTCAAAATGGCGGATCAAAAATGGCGGACAAACATAAAAATATTGTTAAAAATTGATCACATTTGCTTGAATCTCGCTACTCGGGGGTTTTTGAGGTCACTGAATACGAATTTGAAGACAAATTTAAAATTTTCAAAATGGCGGATCCAATCAATCATTGATCAATCAATCAATCAATCAACCAATCCATAAATCAATCATCCAATCAATCCACCAATCAATCACTCATTCAACCAATCTATAAATCAATCATCCAAGCAACCAATCTATCCACCAATCAATCACTCAATCAACCAATCATCCAATCAATCCACCAATCAATCAATCAGTCAATCAATCAAGCAATCCACCAATAAACCACTCAATCAACCAATCTATAAATCAATTATCTAATCAACCAATCAATCCACCGATCAATCCAATCCACCAATTACTCAATCAACCAATCCATAAATCAATCGTCCAATCAATCAACCAATCAATCCATCAATCAATCCATCAATCAATCTATCAATCAATCATCCAATCAATCACTCACTCTTATTCTAGGATTCCTACGTACCTGAGTTTTATTCACCAATCGTGAAGAATCGCTTTCCTATATTTTAAACACGTAAATGCACTATGCAATACTATGTAGGTCTATACCTGCAACTGACTAACACGAAGGAGATATAAAAGAAGATCCAATTTCGTTTTTTATGTAATTTTACAGGGACAAAATAATGTAATTGTGAAATAGAAGCAAATTTATTCAATTATTTTTTTTAAATGCAGCAGAAATTCTGTTTACATTTACCCCGAGTTTTCGAATTCTCGGGGTAAATGTAAACACTTAATTATCTATTAACTGAATTGACGAAATTAAAAAATCAAAGTCAGCTTTTGTTAAGGGATTCATAAGGAATAATTAGAAATTTTAGTTTGAATTTTTAGTTCATTTTTATTCAAATGCGAGGCAAAATACTGAAACAGTAAAACTTTGATTTTCAATCTTTCATGCATTAAGCGACAAATTGGAGTATGGCTTTGACAATTGTCGAAAAAAAAAATGTCAATACTCAGAACCTGTTGCAGGTGAGCTGAGGTTAAAATATTGGGGTCGAACTTAATTTTAAATCTGTAAATTAAGCTGCAATATCTGCTGTTTACATTTACCCCTTGCTTACATTTTCCCCAAATGACCCTATCCTCGTTAGTAATTAATAAACAGAAACTTAATCTCTGTTTTCTCGAAGGAGTGTTCCACTTTTTTTGCCAAATGGTTTGTTGAAAAAAGTTTTTCAGGATCTTAATAAAATTTGGTATTCTAGGGTTTTTGGGGTCGCTGATTACCAATTTGAAGTCAGTTTTTCAAAATTCAAAATGGCGGATCCAATATGGCGGACGAGAATTAAAAAATTCATTGGATTCGCTCGAAAATTGTTACTCGGGGGGTTTCAGGGTCGCGGATTACGAACTTGGAGTTAGCAAATTTGATCATTTTTAAAAATAAGTTTTAGGAAAGTCCGCCATATTGAATCCGACATTTTGAATTTAAAAAATTTGACTTTTATTTTTGTATTTACATTCAATCACTCCAAAATACTTTCTGTAGCAAGTTTTGCAAAAATCCGTTATGATTTGATAAAGTTATTGAAGGTTTTAATTGTGTAATGCATTTTAATTTTTAACCTGTTTGATTTTTGTATTTATATATGATGCATTATTACATAATAGGTTTATTATCGTATTTTTTTTGAGTTTTTATATAATTTTAACAATTGCAATACTTTAAATTTATT